ATCACCATGTCGCGCTGGAACGTGATCCACAGCGGCTCGTCCTGGATAACGGCGTGGCGGAGGGTTCCGGGCTTTGGGTTGACGGCGTCGTCGTTGCCCGAGTCGGTGACCACGTAGATCCTGCCGTTTCGGCCACCGATGGCGTTCTTGCCGAAACCTATGGCGCAGTCGGCCAGGCGCTGGCGGTTTTTTGACCAGTTTGGGTCGCACCTCCAGCAGTCGTCGATGGGGTTCCCTGTCCCGCAGGATAAGTAGGACAGCTTCCTTCTTGACTCGTTCATTGCCCTAATTAACCAAAGAATGAGGCGAAGAGTCGTGAGCTTAAGTTACTTAAGTGCATTATGAAGTATGGAATGTACGTACCTGTGGAAGTCTTGGACGACGAGGTCGGGGTCTTGGACGGAGGAGGAGACCAAATGTGGGTGGAGAAGAGAAATGGAGAGGAGAAGAAGAGGAAGAAGGAATGTGAGAGAAGCCATTTTTAGTTTCTCTTGTTCTTCCTTTTCCTTGTATGTTGATCAAGTGTTTTGGTCTAGCTAATTAGCTAGCAGGTAGTACTACTTGTGGAAGTGGTGGATGAGTGGGGTTTATAAAGGGAGGTAAAAGCCGGGAGTGGTGGCGGACTGGCGGTGATTAGTACAAGCCAAATGGTGAAGGAAATATTGATGGGTCCATTTTGGTGTGATTTGCGGCTACGTAATTTCAGGTTATAGTGGAAATATTGTTTGTTGGTTTGATGAGGTAGTTTAAGGGGCCGTTAATCACTGAGGATGAAGTTGAGCTTGTTGACTATATGGATCAAGGGTTAGAAAAAAATATTAATCAGAGGATACTTGTGGGGATGAGTAATTAGCGACTTTAGGGCACAAAACTCAATTGTCTCTCCCTTTCTTGTCGGTTATGGCTGATGAATGGCGACTTAGGTGTTTGTAGGGCCTTTGGGCTGTGAGATGGACAGATCTATTCCCATAATAACGTAATAGACGATAAATGACAAAATTTACTGTCTTAGAAGTTCTATCAATGTTACCATGCATAGTGTGTCTCGATCTTTACTTTGGATTTTGGATATTCTTCTTTGTTTATTGATCACATGACTCGATATAACTTATCATATCTATCTGTCTTTAATGACAACGCTCTGCCTTCCATGATATTTCTGCATTACTTATTTACATGCATGATGTTGATGAGCATGACATATGCTATACTAACTCAGGGACAATAAATAAGAGTGTGAACAGATAATTATTTTGTGTTTATGTTTACTAATTATGTTACCTCAATCACGGCAGCTGCAAATATAGAAATACTTTTATATTGATATGTTGGTTCTCTATTTTCTAATGAAAGAGCAATCCACTTAAGAGAACATTAGGGATGGCAACCCTAACCGGAAATCCGGGTGCCCGCCCGAAACCGCACCAGTCAAACGGGGAAAAATCGAGTTGACCGGGTGACGGGTCGGGGACGGGCAAACCCGAACAGTTGACGGAGCGGTGATGGATTCATCACAATCCGCCCCATAACCGCCCGACAACTATCCGTCTCTTCCGAATTCCAATCACCATTCCCAGCCTCCGTTGAAGAGGCAGCCCAACTGCAGCTGCAGAACCCAGTTTGGACATGAAGGATGAGGATTTTGTCTCCCACTCCTCCCAGTAGCGGGTATGGGAATAGCCAAGCGATTCTCCCTCTCCTCAATTCTCCCACTTCTCGACTCATATCTATAATGCCGAAGTGACGGTGACGATGGAATCAGGAATCTGACGGCAGCGGCGATGGAAGAAGGGGATCTGCGGATAAGCAACCGCTGTTGTGATCCCTGCCTCTTTCTGTCTTCTTCTCTCTTCTACCCAACGATGGTTGGTGGTGCTGAGAAGAATGGGAGCTTCGCAACGGTGGAGGAATGGCAAAGTCCCCGCGGGGTTTCAGGTAAACCCGTTATCCGAGGTCGGGCGGGTGGCGGTGGGATTTGTGTCCCCGAGGGTGCGGGTGTGGGTGGTTTCTCCGACCCGGGGAGATCTCGCGGGCGAGGAGCAGATGCTGGGAAACCGTCCCTGATCCGCCCCGTTGCCAACCCTAGAGAACTTTCTTTGACTTCGTTGTTTTCCTTTAGTTATCGATGATGCTGATGAACTCGTGGATTCTACATTATGTTTATATATTTTAGTGGGGTCTTGTTTTAACTAGTTAGTTAGTCGTCGTTCTTGACTTGGGAGAAGACTATAAAGCATCTGTTACCATATTATCTCTTTAAAAGAACAAGTTACAAGTTTACTGTTTCTTAGAGTTATCTCTTTAAAAGAACAAGTTACAAGTTTACTGTTTCTTAGAGTCACATCAAAACACTGTCACTTGGTTTGCTTTTTTGTTAAAAGAACAAGTTACAACTTTACTGTTTGGTAGAGTCACATCCCGCCACTGTTACTCATTTGCTTTTTACTTTTACTGAGTTCTTGTTTGTAATCATTGCTTTCCTCTCTCTTTTCTCTCTGCTGTTACGTGTTTTGCTTTTTCTGACAAATGGAGACTTTTTATTACTTATCCATTCTTTCTTCCTCATGTCTAATCCTCAATTCCTCTCTCCATCTTTCTGGATCTGCTTTCTCTCTCCTTCTCTCTTTTCCATTCCACCTCTCTCTCCTACGTTTATTCCCATCCACATATTCATCTTTTTCCTGTATCCACCAACCACTCCATCTCCATCTCTCCATTTTCCTCATTGGAGAAAGACAAGCAGGAAGAAGAAGAAGAAGAAGAAGTAGAACAATGAGGAGATGAATTAAACCACTCACCTTGATCATGCTCTCCCGTCCCCTCCAAAACCAGCTCCGCCTCCATCTCTTTCTCTCTCCGTAATCTCTTAGTCCCAGATCTCTGAACTCGGCCATGAACCGACGAGATTGCCAAAGAACGTGGGTTGTTGGACGATTGATTGCCTAGCTTGTGAGTCTTCCTCTGTTTTTGAGTTTTCCTAACGATCTTTATTCCACTCTCTCTTACTGATTTTCTTGGAAACCACGGCTAGAAGAAAAGACGCGAACGACCGCGCCGGCGATGGGAAGACCTGAAATGGACTCCGGTGATGGTCCCTACGACGACGACTTAGGTCAGGGGTGTTTTCCTTTTCGCATATTGCATTTTTTTTATTTTTTGCTTTGTTAGTTTCTGCTCATCTGATCAGACTTTTCCTTTTGGGATTTCAAGTTCAAACGAGAGGCAAGATAAGGGAGGGATTATTGTCGGTGTATATTTCCAAATCCAGAAGAGGCTACTAGAGCTGGCCACTACTCTCTAGGTAAGCTTTTTCTTTTTGGATTTTGATTTAGTTTACATGTTGGTTCTTGCCTTTCTTTGATGATATTGTTTTTTTAATTGATTTCAGCAATGGGAAGAGGAAGAAGAAGTCATCGACAATCCTGGAGTGGTCGTTGCCGGTCACCAAAATATAGCGATGTAGCTTGCTAGCAGAGGTACAAAGTGTGTCTAGGTGCCCTTTACATGTTTCTGTGTATTTGATAATTCATTTTCCACTAAATAAATTCAGATTTAGGCTTCTTTTGCTTTTAGCAGAGATTATGGTGGGTTTCTGTATAGAAATTGGGGTTTCTAATGAGATGTATGTTGTTTGAACCCTTTCAACATGACTATGGTTATCAATAACAAGTGTTTGTGCTTGCACAAGTGCAAGTTCAGTAACATGGTTGGATTTTTTATTTGCTTGATCCCATTCTTAGATTTTTGTTTAAACATTTTCAACATCTTCATTCTATAGTTATGTCTAAAATGGTGGAGTCTCATACATCAGCATGCATCTCTTTTTCCTTCGCATTTTTATTCAGACTTGCTCTTTGTAGTTCAGTTCCCCTGAATATCTTCTATTGCATTCATTGTGTTACCCAATGACTTCAGGAACAGGCTACAAACCTGTATGTAAGCTATGCTGGATGAGGGAAAAGGTTAAAAATATGCAGCGCCAGATGGGAGTAGCAGTTTTAAGATGGAGTTGGCCTTGATCATCGTGTTTCATGATGCGCAGTTAGTTCAGTTCTATTTTTCAGTAAAAGTTTGCTATATTGGCTCTCTCAACCATACTAACACTTTAATATCATTGTATGATCGTATCATAGGAGAGTTTTGCTTCTAATTGGTGGCTCACTTAGTCTAACTCCAGCTTCTTGCTTTAGATAGAGAGAGGTATGGATGTTGGAATCATGTATATTTGTCTGTTTTACATGTTTGTTGATTGTATTTTCATGGTCTAACTACCTTTTTTACGTGGCTGTTGTTCTTGGTAGCAGCATATGGAGAGATTGGAAAATGATCTTTTGGAGGGGGGATGATCATTCTAGGACTGACTTGGAACCATACAAAAAAGTCTATGAGAAATGGTAGTTCAGCACCTTGATGCAGTCCAAAATGTGTCAAAGTAGCCTTACGACTTGCGGAAAATGATTTGGGGTAAGAATGGCGCTTTCAAAACCTTTTTCAAGTCAGCAAACTAAACCATCTGCACATTTTGTGTGCACCACATCAATGCCTTCCTTTCTAATGAACTTTTTTATTGGCCCAAAAACTTTGCCTATATTCGTTTTATATGTTGTACCGATTAAGTTCTCTTATGTGGCTCCATTTCAACGCAGCAAAAAATAAAAGTACCTGTCGTTTTCATTTACTTGCACCTGCATATTAGCCCATGATTCACCGTACGTAGGACCATGTAAATCGTCTCTGCCACCGACATGCAAAGAACTCTTACATTATTCAATTGCATGGTTTTTACTCTATTGGTCAGTTTTATTTGAAACTGGTAAAAGCTCATGTTCATTGCTCTGGTCACCATGTAGGTTTGCCATTTAGTATTTTGTATTATTCTCCTTCATGTTTATTTCTATTCATAGTTATTTTACACGAGGAACCTATTCAAATGCTTTCTTCCTTGTGAGTCACAACTAATTTTTATATATCTGTGTTTAGGTCCCAGTAACAAGCAATAGATTTGAATACACAACTTGCAATGATAGTAATTAACAGAGACCTTCTACAAAAGAGAGTGAAACCAATTTAGCTGAATCTAATGTGAGTATTGATGACACTACACATAGGAAGTCGTCTGTCTGAATGTAATGATTAGATTTATTAGCTTCAAGATATTTCTTACACCTAAATTTAACAGTTAGATTTAATAAATTATGTTGTTTATTAGTAGAACTAATTCCTGTATAAAAAGAGTACGGTTAATGCTGGTTCCTAAGTTAAAAGGTGGCTTCTCCCTCAGCTTGCTTTGAACATGAGTCTGCAGCATTCTGTTGTTATTTAATCTTTATCGCCCTCATTTCATTGATGAATGAATTATGATCCGTTCTTCTGAGACTTGGGTTCTGTTGATAAGTTTGAGTGAACCCGACGGCGGTGTTGTGCTTCAATAGGTATGGTTTTCTTTGTGGAAATTCATATTTCTTGACTCTCTCTTAACAAATTCTCACCCAAAAATACAAGAACACAAACCCTAGATTGATCTGATCTCACCGTTTTCATAGGCAAAGACAATGAAGAACAAAAAGCAGAAGGAAAGGAAGCAGAAGATTAAGAAGAAGAAGAAGAAGAAGAAGAAGAGAAAGAAGAAAAGACAAGGTGGAAATGAAGAGATAAAAGGCATAACGACTGTAAAGGCAAACGGACCTCCCTGATGAACATACGGTCGGTTTCTGGCCATTCTATTCTTTAATTTTTATGTTCCATCTGCCTTTTGGTTTTTTATTTCGAATCATAGAATTGCTTCTCTTTGTCTGCCCCTGTGTGTCTATTTCTTCCATCTAGCAGTTTATATGAATCGTAGTCTGAGTTTTACTTCGATCTCTGCCATTACAGCGACAAAATCTCCTTCCCGTATCGATATTGGTTCCAAAATGTATACAACCTGCTTTTTATTGGGGATTTTGGTGGGCCAGTCGTGTTTTCATTTTTCAACATGAGAAGTGGTTAGTTGAATTTACTATAGCTTTTGCCTTCTCTATTACTCTCGGCTTCTTCGTTTTCCTACTTACTCTTCTCTATAATGGGTGCCCATTGGCGTATCTTCTTCATATGCATTATGCTGCAATTCATGTTTTCTCTCAAACTTTGCCGTAATTGATAGTACAACCCTTTACCCTAAATTTATGAGGATTTTATGCTTGCTGTGTCCTGTAACTTCCAATGTTGTCGTAGCACTATGAATTGCATACTTATAGTTCATTCCTTAGGTTAGTTGGCTTAGTTAGTGATCAAACCAAGGAAAATATATGTTCTCCCACCTACAACTCTCTCTCTCTCTCTAACTTTACGGTTCATCTTGATTGGTTTATTGTAATCGGTAAGTAGTTTAGCTGAATTCAAAATGTGAGTTTTTCCTGATTGTTTGATTTTGTGGCAGAGTAGAGGGCGAAGAACGTGGTGGATGTAGGCTACTTAGCCAGGAATATGGATACAAGTGACAGGGGAGCACTGTCAAAGAGTCGATGCTCTTGGAGGTGCTCAAGATATAGCTGACCAGGTCAACTTCTTCTACCATTCTTCCAAGTTGGAATGCTTTGGATCAGCCATTCACAGATGGGGATTTTGATCTGGTTTGGTCCATGGAGAGTGGAGATCATATGTCTGATACAGCCAAGGTCTTTGTTTCCTTTTCGACACTTAATGATGCATTCTTAGGGTCAACCAGTTCATGATTTCAGTTGGGAAAATCTCGACATTTATATGGGAACTGGAATTTGTTTTCGCAGTTTGGGTGAGTTGCCTGAAGTTGCACCACCAGGGTCCACCATAATAATTGTGACATGGTGCATCAGAGATCTTGGATCTCCTCATGAATGCTTGACCAGGTGGGAGAAAAATCACCTTGCTAGAATCTGCTAGGCAAGCTATCTTCGTGAATGGTGCTCCACTTCTAATTATGTCAAACTACTCCAATCCCTCAATCCCCAGGTGTGTATATACATATGATTTCACCTAATGCAACCACCAACCGAGTCGCCTTTTTTTTGCTGTTGAACCAACTCGCTTTGTTTTCCTGCAGGATATAAGAACAACAGATTGATATGAGAATGTTACCCCATTTTAACCAGCATTTGTACGGTCCGCCCTCACATGTAAGGCCTTCACTTCCCTCCTCCGAATCGTTATTCCTTGATTTTCCTTTTGCTATTGATTTGATTCACCTCAAATAAATGTAAGTCTATCTAAAGAAGTCTGTCATTCGTGGTAATCGAACTCAAGCTTACCTGGAATTTGATTATGGTGGAACAAGCATGAAATCTATCGGATGAGCATTGGTGATATCATTGATGTTAGAAGGATTCAAAAGGGATTAAAAAAGGATCTCATCAAGTTCTCTGTTATAACGTTAACAAAATCCTGAATTGACTTTCTTGCCGATTATATTTTTTGCTGCAGAAGGTGTCCAAAAATTGTAAACTTTTGCTTAGGTAAATATGGAACTTTTTACTTTATAGTACTGGAAACGAAAAGTAGTTACTGGGAAAAACAATCAAACCGATTGATCGAACAAACTTCAGTACTTCAATGAATCAAATTGATGATGATATCAACATGGTCAGTTCTGGAATTATTTCTATTCTAACCTGCATGTAATGAACACAGAGACTGGAAATTGTATTTTCAAAATTTATCCTCTGGCCTATATGTTCCAGATATTGGTTTTAAGGTTGTATTTTGTTCCTTTGTGCTAGCTGCATCATGTGGTTTGCAGATTTATCTTTCATATTTCACGAATGGTGTTTCCTTTGTTCTTTCCTGTTTCATTGTCCTAATTTCGATGATATAATTGTTCTTTATATCTTACTACTGTCTCACTACTACCTACCTATCATTGCGTGGGCTTTTTCGTTACTGCCCTTTCGTAGCTATCATATCATCCACTTTGTTCAGGCTACAGCTTACGACTTCGAGTCAGGTCCATCTGTACAGGACTCTGCAGTATGTTACCATTGGTTTATAGCCTTTCAGATTCTGTTAAAGCCTGTTATATAAAGTTCTGCAGCGTCTGATATGATGGTAGCATGGGTTTCTAGCCTTTTAGATTGTAGTGGGATGGAGATACTTAACTTTTTCATTGCATTTCTCCAGGAACTATGCTTCATCAAACCTGCAGTAAATTGTAGTGGGATGGAGGTACTTTAACTTCCAATCTTGCTGCTCTTGCTTCAGTATTTTTGCCCGCAAGAAAGAGGAAGTTGCTATACTGGTCATAATATAATTTATTTGCCAACAACACCAACATGATCGTTCTCAATGCCTTGAGGAACTCCGAAGGTTTGAATCGTTCCCTTTAATCTGCCATTTAAGCCCATGATTGACTTGTGCGAAGTGTTAAATCTTCAGTGACGAGACATTTTTCAAGCCTATTTCTATCGGTTAAGAGCTACAGTTTTCAGTTGCCAAATGTTTGTCGCATAATGGATATTTGCATGTAGTTTACTCTGCTGTGTTCGGGGAGACTATTTTGCATAATGGATAGTTGCTAGATGTTTGCGGCCGAAAGGTGAATCTCAAGTCTCTCTCTCCTTTATCGACTGTGATCTTGCAGGTTTCGTGTGTTTTTCAACAACCTTCTCTGTGTTTGGATTTTAGGTTTGTTATCAGGGATTCAGAACCGTGGTTGGGCGAAGAGGTGAGGAGAGGCAACTTTCATAGGAGGATTCCGCAAGAGAGGGGAAGTAGAGAAGGGTGAGATCCCTATATTTTGTTCGTTCTTCTTTTCTCTAAACTCTCCCCTCCAGGTTCGCTCTTATTTAATTCTACTCTCTTCTCGACTTTTCACTTTCCCTCTTTGGTTTTTTCCTTTTCTGGTTGAGAGAAAACTCGCGTCAGTCTTGAGGGGGGAGGATTCTCGGAGTAATCAAAGTTGGTAAGCGTCTCTTCAGCTCTTTCCACTCTTTTTCTCAGCTCTTTCCACTCTGTTCGTTCTTCTATAAATTGGCTAATTTGGGAGGGCGAGAGAAATCGGAGGATACACAGAACCGCAAGGTGGGTTTCTTATGTTTTTTTTTCTAGACAAATTCGTTCTCCATCACTCTCAACCTATGCATTATTAGAAGATACCGGCACCGAGTTCATAAGCCCCGGAGGTGGTCATCAATTCCAGCGAAACGCTACCAATCTGAAGATCTGTGGTTTGGGTTATAAATCCATGTTGAAGAGGATCCATTGTGGAGAACGAGATTGGCGACGGAAGGAAACCAGATTTGCTTGTCCTGACATTTGAAGGTGATAAGTCGATATTGATGGTTTTGGTTCATCTCTCACATTTGTTATGATTAGATGCATATTCTTAATTATGTTCTCTGGTTTCTGTTGCCCAAACGGTTCCGCACGAAGAAGCCTCGGTTGTGAGGATCCCTCTCCGACGAAGCAAAATCCGAAGATGGTGTGTGGCCGATTCTCAAGCCAGAGCATGCTGATTCTCTTGCCCTTTGAGTTGATGGGCTTTTCTGAGAGCTGAGTTGATCGTGGAATCTCAGCGAAATGTTGCTGGACCAATAGATGAATGCTTTGCGAAACCTTCCTCCCGTCGTCGTGAACTCAGGTCTCTCTCTCCCCCACCCTCCTTCTCCTTCCCCTGCCATTTTTTTCCTTTTTCCCTGCGGTTACTGAATGGCAATTCCTTGGCTTTTTCCTCCCATCCCCCAATCATATATGAGTTGGGTTTCAGGTTTTGATTGATTGTCGGGTTTGAGAGATTGACGGTCGGGTTGGGGAAGAAGCAGGTTCGATGTTTTGGATTTTCATTTTTAGGTTATTGTTTTCCCGATTTTCCTTGAATGTGATCATGCCCTCTTTTCCTATTTCAGAAGAGCACGTCTGGTCTTGGAGATTTTATAATCGAATTCGCTGATGGGGATTTGGGGAGGTAAGACACTGTCCGCAACATCGTCGTAATCCTATCCTCTTGAGACAGTGCCTAGGCATAGGCGAAGGTAATTTTATATGTCTTTTCCTTATCTTTTTTTCCCCTTCTCCCCCTGGTAATCTGTCCTGTTTTATCTTTCTGATTCATCGCTTTTGTTTGCTATTTCGGATAGCGATTCGGTGTTTTAGAGTTGACAATCGATCTGAACTTTAGAGTCGTCAGAGCGGGCAAGCGAACCAGAAACATCATTTGAAGTTTTTCCCTCCGTTTCACTTTGATCTAATTAGTTTTGTTGTTGTCAAAGATTCATTCGGTGGAGGAACTTCTATTTTAGGACTCTATTTCTCAACCTTCCAGATTTACTGTGAGAAGTTTTGTTATTTTGGGTTCTATATCTGCATTGACGTCCATGATCGACCCATTTAAGCTTTCTTTTTCCCTTTCGTTTGATTTCCGAGTGTGGAGAACTCGGTAGAGGTCCTTCACAGATGGCAGGTTGATTAATAATAGTGTGGAAACATAATTAGGGGACTTCCCCTATTCTAACTGTCCTTTGAGTCTAACTCCATAAAAAATGTATGTCAGTTCCCTCACGTGTGACCTCTTCATGGGATTTCAAGGTCTGTGTTCTTTTTCTTATTGAGTATTGAAATCAAAATGGTAGTTTTGGTTATCTATTAAATGTATGTGGTGCATAGATGTGCAGGTAATGCTTGCCTTTGGATTAACCAAAAACTGGAGTACCTGTACTATAACTTCTGGAGAGGACAGTTGATTGGGAGCAGCAACTCAAGAAAGCATATATGTGCTTTTGAAGTAGGTCCAGGTTAGCCACTGTTCTCTGTGAATTTTGCAGTTTTTGCTATGACAGAAGTAATCTTTATTTTGCTCTACCTTAGATCCTACTATTTTCATGAATCTGAGTATTTTTACGGTTTATGAATGTTGATGTGCAATAATATGTTGCTTGCTTTCTAAGTGTTCTTGAGAAGGTAGGACTGAACAAAATTGAACCATCACACATAATGTCGTGATCTCCATTTTGTGTGCAG